GCCCCTGTCCGGAGGCCGCTGAGAGCGGAGCGGCGCTGCCGGTTCGTACCGCCCCGTCACCCCGCCGGTGCCGCCATGAGCCTCCGGGCCTCGGTCAGCGAGTGTCTGCGGGACTGGGAGGAGCTGCAGGGCGGCTTCCAGCACGTGCAGGTGCAGGTGCCGGGGGGGCGGGGCCTGCCGGGGGCGGGCCCCGGGGGGGGGGGGGGGGGGCCCGCGGGGGGGGGGGGGGCGAGGAGACCGGAGTGTGGCCTCTCCCTGGCATGGGGCAGCAGGTGCACGTGGGAAGCAGCCACTGGGCCCCAGCCGCGAACCCAGCAGCCTCTCCGAGCTCTGGGGGCTTCACAAAGCTTCTTCAAACCGACCCCCTGGGTCAGACACCGATAACTGATCCCTGACTCGCACGTGGGACACAAGATGTGACTTGCCTGCCTAGAACCCAGCGATTGTGGCAGTGACGTTGGCATAGCACGCCTGGCTGCCACCCACAGGCTCTCAACCGTGCCCTACATGTCCCTGCGGAAAGCTGGCCCTTGCCCTGTGCCCAGAAGGGCGGTACACCCAAGCTCTGGTGGACAGAGGGGGACATACATCTTGGAGTTGAGGACCCGCCACTAAAAATACCCTGTTGGCGGCACCCCCATCCTGTTTGAGTCCCTGGGGACTCCAGCGCTTCCACTGATCACAGCTGTTGTGCTGTGTGGGGGCAGAGGCAGGAAGGCAACCAGATCACCAACAATTAACGGTTTCATAGGCTAGTTCCCGGCCCCGTACAGTCCCCCAACAGGCAGTCAGTACAGGCCATGAGTGCTGGTGTGATGTGGCACTGCCTTTGGAGAGGCATTCATCCAGTCCCGTATTGTTCAGGGTGGATGTGATACACGAGTAGCTGCTGGTTTTGGAATAGCTCTAGTCTCCATTATTTTGTATGTTGCCGAAGGTTCTTGCCTCAACAGAGCTAAATATCTGCAAAAGAACTTTCTTAAAACAACAATCTGTAATCGCTGGCTCTGGAGGAAAACAGATAGTCAAGACATGTAAGCGTGGCCATTTTGGGCCTCTATTCTCGTTTATTTTTATATCGAATATTAATCATTCTACCTCAGTAGTCACCCATTGGGATCAGGGCTCTGCTGTGCTGGGGACTATATAAATGCATAGTGAGAAATGGTCCTGCTGTGGCCAGCCAAGCTTCTAGTCTGGAGGGAATTTTTATCTTGACTTTATTAATGCCATGGCAGGGGATGGGGGGAATGGTGGCCTTTAATGGAAGTATAATGCTGCTGCTCCAGTGATGTCCTTACTCTGCCTCCATTGGCTGCTGAGTGAATTATGACTCAGTGACTCTTCTAATCTATTGTCAAAACACCCACTGGAGGTGTGATCTCAGGCAAGGGGAGAAGAAAAAATTAATAGAGCTGAAATAGCAGAGAGCCGTTCAGCCCCCATGTTGTATCCCTGTCTGTGGGAAACAGGAGGATTGAATTGCTGCTGAGCTTATCATTCAGTAACGGTGTCTACCATGTTGGGCCGTCGGTTTTCCTCCCGTACACTTTGTCAGTCAGTGATCAGTGGAGTGCTGGTGACCTTCCCCATCCCTGTTCACACTTCTTTTGCTATGTCTGTCCTGCTTTGTCGCATACTGGTTAGCGGGTGTCCTTGACAACCGGGACTAAACAGTCTCATTGGCTGGGGAAGCCCTCGTGTCTTTTTGGGCTGAGCTGTTTGGGATTTACATCTCGTGTGGATGCAGCTGGAAAAGAAACAGCATCATTTTAAGGTCTCTTTCAGAAGGCTGTTGTCTGCATCTGTTATACTGGTAGGCTCCTGCCTCGTGACTGTTCTCCTTTCGGTAAATGATTGAATGCTTTAACGTGTTCACTATGGAGTGAATACACTACAGTGTGTTTGCCCCACTGCCTGGTGTGACTTATACTACACATACTGTCATGTATGTTGTTCTCCAAAGCATTTTGTGATCTACATTGTATGAATACATGTCACCTTAACTCCCCTCCTCTCCACTTGGTTCTTGTCCATGGTACTTGGGTGGTTCCTGTGTCACTTAGATTGGAGACCTACCAGTGACATGCTTCCTGGGAGAAGATTCCTCTGTCCGTGTCCTTTTGATGGAGACCATGAGTATAGCGTATACTCAGGACAGCCTTTCTTCCCCGGCTCCTCTCAGGTGCTGATGGCTTTTTGCCTCTTGGGACAGCCTGTGAAATTCCTAATCTGTCACTCTAGTGGCCTTGACAGAACAAGATTTATTAAGACTAGAAAGAGATCAGATTCAAGGAGGGCTTCTCAAAGTCATCTCAGTGATGGAGCAACACGTGCTGCTTTTAGAAATCCCACCCTAGAACAATAAAGCTGGTTTGCATGGCATATGTAGTGCTGTGCTCTACAAGAGGGATGTGGTATAAGAAGACTAGACGAGGACTTGGGAGACCTGGGTGGAGTTCTGGCTCCGCTGCAGGCTGCCTGTGTGTCCTGGGGTAAGTCAGTGTGTCCTGTGCGAAGTGGGATACAATTTCCTTGCCTCACAGCTAGTAGCAGATCTGTTCTACCAAATACACCTCTACCCCGATATAACACGAATTCGGATATAACGCGGTAAAGCAGTGCTCGGGGGGGGGCAGGCTCCGGCGGATCAAAGCAAGTTCGATATAACGCGGTCAGATTTTTTGGCTCCCGAGGACAGCGTTATATCGGGGTAGAGGTGTAGTAGATGAAATGGCATATTTACGACACCTTTCAGTACAAGGTTCTATCTATTTTAGGTCCCTATATGGCCCCTGTCACTCTAGTATCTGAGCACCTCATAATCTTTAATCTTCAGCACCGCTGTGAGGTAGGGAAGTACCACTTCACAGATGGGGAAACTGAGGCACAGCGAGACTAAGTGACTTGCCCAAGGCCACACACAAGTCTGTGGCATAGCGGGGAACTGGACCTGAGCTTCCCAAGTCCTAGCTAGTGCCCTAATCCCTAGGACCATCCTGCCCCTTTAATAGTTGAAATTAGTGACAGTAAAAATTCGCTTCTGCTGCGACTACACGGAGGAGTTAGACGTTGTGCCTCCTGCTAGGAATCCCCAGTGCAAAGTGCAATGAACCTTACCACCGATTGCCCAATGTTCCCGGTCCCTGGCGGGGCGCACAGGGCTAAAGTCAGAGCTGTCATCAGTGGAGCTGTACTTTATTACCCCAGGACTCAACTTGTCCCGGAGCTGCGACCACAGATGACTAACCACTGTCAGGGCCGTGATTACAGACTGGGCATCCGTTGCTGCGGACTAGGGAAGAGGTTACACTCTAGGACAGTGGTTTTCAAACTGTGGGTCACGACCCATACTGGGTCGCAGAATGTCAGGCACTGGGGTCACGGCGGCTCTGGTCAGCACCACTGACCGGGCCATTAAAAGTCTCGTCGGCGGTGCTGCCCAGCGAAGGCAGGTTAGTCCCTACCTGTTCTGACACTGCGCTGTGCCCTGGAAGCAGCCAGCAGCAGGTCTGGCTCCTAGGCGGGTGGGCCATGGGGCTCCGCACACTGCCCCTGCCCCAAGCACTGGCTCCGCACTCTCATTAGCCAGGAACCGGCCAATGGGAACTGGGGGGGGCGGCGGTGCCTGCGGGTGAGAGCCGCACGGAGCTGCTTGCGCGCCTCCGCCTAGGAGCCGGACCTGCTGCTGGCCGCTTCCGGGACGCAGTGCGGTCAACAGTGCTAGGACAGGTAGGAAGCCTGCCTTAGCACCCCTGCTGCGCCGCTGACCAGAAGCCGCCCAAGGTAAGCCCGCGTCCCAATCACCTGCCCCAGTCCTGAGTCCCCCCCCAAACCCAGAGCCCCTTCCTGCACCCCATATCCCTGTTCCCCGGCCCCACTCCAGAGCCTGCACCCCCAGCCCAGAGCCCTGACCTCTTCCCGCACCCCTGCCCCAGCTCTGAGCCCCCGCAAACCCAGAGCCCCCCTCCTGCACCCCAAACCTCACCCCAATCCTCTGCCCCAGCCCTGATCCCCTCCCACACCCCAAACGCCTCATCCCCAGCTCCGTTGGGTCGCAGGCATCAACAATTTTCTTTAACTGGGTCGCCAGAAAAAAAGTTTGAAAACCACTGCTCTAGGAAGACGCTCGGCCTGGGGGAGGGGGCGTGAATGGGAATTGCAGCATGGGGCCACACTAGGCGTCAGTGAAGGTCTTTTGCGTAGTACCCTCTCGTGCAGCGGGAAGTCAGGAAAGCTGCGTGTGTCCTGGCTCAGAAACAGCCGCCTCTGGTACTGTCAGTGTTTCCTAGACGTCCGGCTGCTGATGCATCTGCTTTGAATGACTGCAGTTCTTGCCAAGTACTGTGTTCACTTGTACTGGCTCCTGCCAAGGCTTTTACGGCTTCTCCTAACTTCTGAGTGTCGTGCCCCGTGATTTATAGGTGGCCAAGTCCCACTAACACATCCCCAGCAGAGTACATGGGAGTTCTCCAGGAGTTAGTCATAGAGCGGGGGGTTTTCCTGCCCCATTGGTTGTTCATACTCCCATTCGGAGACTCACTGCCGGAGGAAGCGGCTCAGAGAAGTGGGATCTGCAGAAATCAGGGTGGTTATATTGCTTGGCATGGGTTACATCCAGGAATGAAGTGTTGCAAACTTTCCTGTGTGGTTACAGCAATTTACCTCTGCCCTATCCCCCAGCGTACCAAGACAAGGGACTCTCCAGCACAAACTGCATCGTGGTCTCTTGATTGGGGCAAATAGGGGCACCTGAGTGAGACCAGCCAACTCGTTTCACTGGTGTCTCAAGACGTGCTGGACTCCAAGCCCTCTGCTTGGTTGAGGCCCTTCTGATTTACCAAGAGCACGTGTGTGCCTCTCCCCGTTCTGGCCTGCTACCAGACTCAGAACCACGCTTCCCATCCAGTGATTCACACCTCCTCCCACGGCCTGTCAGCAAGAAACCCTCCCGCTCTTTCTCCTGTGCAAAGTTGCTGCTGCCCTGGCGAGCACTGAAATTTCTATCCCTGCTCCTGGGGCTTGTCCACACAGTGCCGCAGGGGTGTTATTGGTAGAGCGCTCAAACTGCCCTGTATAGGCTCCGCTGGTGTGAACTAAATGGTACCTGGTTTGCATTAGGACTGTTTTAGAACTCTACAAATCCCCCACCTGTAGTCTGCTGTAGACAAGCCCTTAGTCTATCCTGGAGCCAGATTCCTCCCAGTCGCTGCAGGGAAAGGGATGGGGTGTGTGGCAAGCTACCATCTGTGTCTCAGAACTTTCTCGACCCCTGCTTTATTTAACCCCCTGAATATCTCCTGTCCTGGAGAAGGCTCAGTGAAGCAGGGTTCAGTTAAGACACACAGATCACTTGGTGAAAAACTCCTTAAACTCTCTTTACTGTCTCGGATCCCACATTAAATCAACTGCATCTACTCTTCTCTCCTGGTGCTGACCCACAATTAGGTGTGGGGAGCGGGAATGGGGGGAGCGTGGTGCAGGGACCTTGAGGAAAAACTTCATCTTGGCCCAGAAGGGTTAAGTGAAATGTACCAGAGTTGCTGTGTGAAGAAGGGTTGAGGAGGCGGAGAAGTGGTGCAATCTGCTCTCTTCCCTCACCCTCGGAATAGAAGGGACAGTCTTGTTCTTGGGAAAGCGACCTGCTCCTGAGAGACCTATCCTCGTTTTGCTCTTGATCTGGCCAATTTGTGAAAAGTGGGCAAAGGTCTAATCTAACATCTTAACAGATTCAGTTCCTTCCTCTTCCCTGCTACAAGCAGTGGGATAAAGAACATGCCGTTTAAGGAGCAACTTGCGAGATAACAGTGCACTCAAAGCTGGTCTGCTTGCACCACAACATGCAGATTAAAAGGCAGCAAATTTAAATTGGGTGGAGAGTTGTTTTTAGCAGTGTAGAACTAACCTGAGGGACTCCCTGCTGCAGGGGACAGAGAAAAGTAATTCAAAAGGTAGTGGTAGAACACTGGGCTAGGGCTGAGACTTTGGTTCTGCCACTGACCTGCTGGTTGACCTTGGCCAAGTCATTGCGCCTCTGTGCCTCGGTTTCCCCAACGGTAAATGAGGATAATGATACTGACCTACTTCCTAAAGCATTTTGAGAGCTACTGATAAAAGCTGTAGAAGAGCTTGGGATTCTAGATCTGCAACTGACGGTCCGTTACAAGACTAACTGTGAGCTCGGCTTTAATTCTCTAGTCGAAGGTGCTATTCTGAATTGTTCATCAATGTCAAACGTGTAGCATCTCTCAGCAGCCTTTCAGGAGAAGGGTAAGCATTGACGTGGCAAGGGCTACCACTGATTTTCCAAACCTAAAATGAGAATGGCACCTACACAAGGCAGGGCAGCATTTCGAGGCAGTGCCACGCTGCAGGGCATAACCCACGATCACCAGCTGGGGGAAGGTAGGGGCTCCTTCCTCCCCCCAGGCTATGTCGGTCAGCACAGTACTGGACCAGATGGTGTTACAGGGACACCTTCCCCTGAACCACTGGCCACTGTTGGAAGCTGGATGCTGGGCTCTTCACGAACACCTGGTCTATAGGGCGGCTTTTAGTTCAGCAGCTTCCCTTCGGTCACAGTCGGGTCCCAGCTGCGCGAACGTCCTCTTGGTCCGGATGGGAGGCTGCTGGGAAATGCTGAGTCAGCTCGTCCCTTGTGGCTTCCGGGGTCTGGAAGCTCAGCTGGCTGGCCAAGCTTCAGCCGCTGTCTGAAATGGAGGCGCGGGGCAGGGTGCGGGAGGGAGATGCCTAGGTCACCCAGCAGGTCAGTGGCATGCTGGGAAGGGAAGCCAGGATCTGAGGTCTAGTCTCGCCTTCAGCTAAAGGTGGCACCTTGCCAGCCCATTTGTTCCTCCTTTGGCATGGCGAGGCAAGGAGGAGCAATGGAACACAATGGGCAAGCTTATTCCAGCCGCACAGTGCCCCCTATGGGTGTGTGTGAGAACCAGTCTCGAATGGAAGCTGAATCCCAGTTTGGGACTGCATGGTGTGCCGGGGGTGAGACGCTTGGCTCTGGGCTCACTTCCCACTGCTTATAGAGGCTGCGTCAGGCCAGGAAACCAAACCCCACTTCGCCGGTCTCTAAGCATTTACCCAGTGAGTTTCCCAGGCCCCTTCTGAGTGGGAGTACCAACCCCATCTGGAGGGGCAAATACGCTTCCCAAGCGGATGCCACGAGTCAGCGGTGAAACTGGGGATAGTTCTCAAAGGTCCTGCCTCTTGTTCCTCTGGTCAAATCCCCAGCCCAGCCTCCCGGAGAATTAAACGGGCTCCCAGCTGAGGCACCTGGGCTCACCGCTGGTCTGTCCTTTCCATTGCCAGGAGGCCCATAAGCAGTACAAGCAGAAGCTCGAAGAACTAACCAAGCTTCAGGATGGGATCTCCAGTTCCATTGCACGGCAGAAGAAGCAGCTGAAGGAGCTGTCTCTCGCCTTCAAAAAGTAAGGAGCTCCTTGCGGAGCCCTGGTTGGAGGGCACGCGGGAGCCTAGTGAGCCGCGTTCCTACGCCGTGGGGTGCTGATGCGGGGAGGAATGGTTTGGGGTAGGTGAACCATGGGGGCTGGGTAGGATGAAGGAGCTATCGCTTCTTTCATACCCTCCTTTCCTTTCTCCAGTAGTTTCTTCATCCCCTGCCCACATTAGACATCAGCTCCCCACGCTGCCTTCCTAGGCTTAGAAAATTGGTGGCTGCTCATTCATGTTGGTTTCCACCCTGCTGCCTCTTAGCCTAGGTCCCATTCTGAAACTCCGGGATTAGCTCCCAGGTTTCATCCCCCTGTTAGTTCCGAATTAATCTCTCGGTTCCTGCTGTCCTGCGATGGGACGACGTCACGCAGCAGCAGCTGCTGGTCCTTCTTGTCAGACCGAGTCACGTTCCTTTCCCCAGCTGCAAGTCCTCGATAACCGCCGAACAGGAAGAGTCCATCCGGGAGATCCAGAGCCTCATCAAAGAGAGGCAGAGCATCTTCTTTGAAATGGAGGCGTATTTGCCAAAGAAGAATGGGTAAGAAGCCATCCCATGGTCTTGAGGTCTTAGCCAGCAGTAAAAGGACTGAAGCTATTGACTTTTATGCAGCTGTTACCAGAGATTGCTTGGGTTACCAGCCAAAAACTGCCCAGACTCTCTCAGGATGTCAGTGAAAGACCTGATACACAGCTGGTGCTAGTTAATTTCTCATCGCTCCTTTTCAATCTCCACCCTCCCGATTCAAATTCCAAGCCCCCAATTTCCACTGGGCTTGGGAAAACCTCGGCGTGACCAGCCAGAGACAGATTAGGCTAGGGGCCTTGGCACAGAGGGTTGCCAATTCAGAGCAGAGTATAACCCCTGGGCCTGGCTGCTTGGAGCAGCAGTGTCTTTGGACACTGCTGGCACGAAGCTCGCTCTCCAGCGTGCGCTGGTGTTGCCCCGTGGCCAGCAGCCTGACCTCCCGCTGGCTGGGCAAGAGGCCCATTAGTGCGGTGTTTGAACAGATGTTTATTCTAGGGTAACAGTCTTTGGTGCAGAGTTCGCGTCTCTGGCAAACGGGGACCCTCGTGAGCATTGGTGGGGAGGTCCTAGGGGGCACAGGCTCTGCACTTGGCCATACTTCTCCCGACTGCGGCGGGTGCCCGAGGCAGCCTTGGGCAGAGGCCGCCTTCCGCTGTGCTAGTGACAGAGCTGCGTCTGCGTCATTGACAAGTGGAAAATGGATGGGCGCCTGTCCCAGCCGGTGTTCCCGCAAAGGGACCGACCGATGAATGAATAAGCCTACGTACGTCTGCACCGTAGAGCGTGACCGTAGTAAAGCTTGGCGTTGAAGCCCATACAATGCGTGTGTGATAGCTACGCCTTAGCCACGCAGCAGGAGCCCTTTCAATCTCAAGTAGTGCCACCGGCACAGCGGTGCTGTATGCCTCCTGCGTATGTTCTCACTTCTCCTTCCATTCTCATCTAGGTTGTACCTGAGTCTGGTGCTTGGGAACGTGAATGTGACTCTACTCAGCAAGCAGGCTAAGTAATGCCCCTCTGCTGTCCATCTGTTTGCGGCCGCTTAAAGGCAGTAGAATTCCCTTTACTCTTGGAGAGGCGGGTCGTCTTCTGCCGGCACGTGAGCGTGTCTGGCACTGACCCTTGCCAAGCTCTTCCCAATCCCAGCATCCGCCGAGACCCTCTTCCACCGGCAGGACTGATCGTCACGTTGACCCGTCCCAGGGCTGGGTTTAGGACACTCCCTCCCCTAGAGTTAACCTCTGACACCTGATCTTCTCTTGCATGTTCTTGCAACTGTCCTGCCTCTGGCAGGGGTCTTTAGGTCAAGCCTGGATGGGAGACCTACCAGGAAAACACAGGCTTGTTAGTGGTTCAGTAGGTGGCGTTCTTCCCTCCCAGTTAGGGTTGGTGGATTGGGGCTGGTCTAAGGGCAGGCGGAGCCTCTGGCAGCACAGTGCCCCCTAATGCCATGTTGGGACATGATCCAAGACTTGCTCAACCAACAGCCCCAGCACCCTTCCCTACAGCATCTTGGGTCTCCTGTCCGAGACCCAGTAGCTCATGGTCCAAGCTGGTACGGCCGCAGGGTCTCTCAGGTTTACCCGGTTGCTCTTTGTAGCCATGGGAGATGGCCCTTGTCCACTGATCGTTGCCTGAAGACTTTGGGTTTATTCTCTGCACACCATGACCCTTCGCTGTGCTTCCCTGCAGGTTTGCTTATAAAGATGAGTACGAGAAGTTCAAGCTCTACCTCACCATCATCCTGCTCATCATCTCCTTCTCCTGCAGGTTCCTTCTCAACTCCAGGTGAGTCTGTGGCAGCAGCAAGATGCTCACCAAGCCATGTGGGCAGCCTTATAAGAGAGACCATCTCCTGGGCTGAAACCAGGGTCTGCTAACAGACTGCTTAGCTGAGATGCATGGGATCTGCGTGGAAGGTGTCGGGTTGAGTAGCTTCTGACTTAGGCTACCATCCCCGAATGATGGGAACCAAACTGCAGACTGGTGTCTCTATAGGATATAGGATCCTTCAAGGACTGTGGGGCTACAATAGGATTGCTGGAGGTAACAAGATCTTGAACTGAAACGTTCCCCTGGTGGGCTGGAGATGGGACCCTGGATAATGGACTGGGCCAGTCACGTCTCACCAGCTTGGATCCGGTTTGCAGGTGTGCAGCGTCACTGCTGCTAGCCCACTGGGTTCTGATGTGGTTGAGGCTGGCCGGCCATGGGGAATGGTACCCACCTGGGTGAGCAGTCCAGGTGCTGAACAAGGCTCCTCCACAAGTTGCCACCCCGCAGTCGGGTGGGATTTTCCTGGTGCCTGTCCTGCAGTAAATTTCTATCTCATCGAAGGCGTGAGGAATGTAGCATCCAAGGGGCAGCATGGCTGGACTGGGCCAAAGGCCTATGGTCTGTAACTGGCTCGGGGATCAGGACTCTCCAAATAGCCGATGACCCTTTTGTGCACACACCCTGGCCGCTCGGTGTCACTATAATAAGAAATATATGGAGATATGCCTATCTCATAGAACTGGAAGGGACCCTGAAAGGTCATCAAGTCCAGCCCCCTGCCTTCACTAGCAGGACCAAGTACTGATTTAACCCCAGATCCCTCTAAGTGGCCCCCTCAAGGATTGAACTCACAACCCTGGGTTTAGCAGGCCAGTGCTCAAACCACTGAGCTATCCCTCCCCCCCGTACCTGTCTCAGCATCTGGGTTTCTATATGAGAGGCTTCCAGCCCTCTCCATGTGGCTGGAGCAGCTCCCCACTGAGACCAGAGCTGGTGGCCTCTGCTGAAATAAGACTTGGAAATGCCCATTTGGGGGTGCGGTCAGACCCCTGGCTTGTCAAAAGTGTGCTCCGGTCTTTATTCCAAAGTCACGCCCTTGCTTTCACGTCCTTCCCAAGGAGCTTGACCCTATGTGAGAAGGTTAGGTTGCTTCACGGTTTAGGTTGTTTCAGTGCCACACTCTTACATTCGCCTGTCCTGCGCCTCCCCACGCCGCGCCCCTAGAGGCTATCCCAGAGCTTGCCTCCCGGCAGCAGTGGGAATGCACCAGAGAGCTTGCGTTGCATCCCTCCCTCCCCCAGCGCCGGCGTGGCTGTTCCCAGCAGTTCCGTGGTAGCAGGAAGCTGCTTCGTGGGCCAGACCCTCAACCCAACGCAGTTGCTCTGCATAGGGACTGAAGGGGAAGCAGCGCTGCGGCTGAACGCTCCTGAGGTCTGCCCGGTTCCTGGTGGAGCCGCAGAGGTTCCGCTCTGCTCCCCCTCTTCACCGTCCGCTTTGTGTGTGACAGGGTGACGGACGCCGTCTTTAACTTCCTGCTGGTCTGGTACTACTGCACCCTCACCATCCGCGAGTGCATCCTCATCACCAACGGGTCCAGGTGAGCAGGGCCCCACCCTCCCAGTGCCACAGCCTCACCCAGGCTGAGCAGACCGATCCTGACCTGCTGCATTAGCCTCTGCTCCCAGAGCTGCCCCGAGCTCCGGGGGAGCGGGCGAAAGAGTCTCCCACTCGGGGTCACCTCTGCTAACTGGGGGAACAGCTTGCTCAGTATTGTGAAGCGCTCCCGGGGGAGGGGCCATGGGAGGAGAACCAACAGCTTCAGGGGGAGCAGGTCTAGCAGCCTGGCTCGCTGATTACAGCAGTCCCTGCTTCGTGCCACGGTGCCAGCGCCATCCTGGTGCCGGCTGAGCATCTGCCCTGGCCCAGTTTTCTTCCCGCTCCTTGTGAGCAGGGGGGAGCTGCTGACCTGTCTTCCCTGGCTGGAGGGCCAGCCTGGCCTTCACCTCCCTTGCAAGCCTAGTCCCCCCCGTGTGGATGTCTAATTCTGGCTCCCTCTTCTCTGCTCCCCCAGAATCAAAGGCTGGTGGGTTTTCCATCACTACGTCTCTACCTTCCTCTCGGGCGTCATGCTGACTTGGTGAGTCTCCATCGCTGCCCGTCGCTGGGGATCCCGCATCATCCTGCTTTCCTGCCCTCTCCTCCCTGCCTCGCAGTTGGGTTGAGAGGATGTTAGAGGACAGACTTCACCTGGGTGGGCTCGTGCCAGCCTCCCCCTAAATTGGGTCCCTGCTGCCCTGGGGGCCTCAAAGGGAGTAGCCAGGGGATCTCTGACATCACCCGGGGCTGTGGGACGCTCGCAAATAAAACCCAGAGAGCAGGCTGATGCCAGCGGTGACACCCTGAGCGTCTCCCACCGTCTCTTCTCCCCCGCAGGCCGGACGGGCTCATGTACCAGATGTTCCGAAACCAGTTCCTCTCCTTCTCCATGTATCAGAGTGAGTGTCCCTGCGTGGGCGGGGAGCCAGCCTGGGTGCTGGGCTTTGGAAACCCAGACGGAGCCTCTGAATCAGCAGACTGGCGGCTGCGTCCCTCTCCTGTTAGCCTGTTTCAGCCGTGCCCTCTGGGTCCACAGCGCTTACAGGGGGGTTGGCAAGATCCCCAGGAGCCATGAGACGGTTTCTCCTCCCTAGCGCTCTGCAAAGCTGCAGGCTCGGGAAGCGGTGACAGAGCGCCGGCCTGGCCTGCGTAGGGCACTGCGCCCGGAGCAAGGAGGCGGCTGGGAGGGCCTGGTGAGCGGGGAAGCGCCGCAGGCCAGTGGATTGCACGCTGGCAGTTGTGCAGGAATCTCCCCTCCCTGAAGCTCTCCTCTTCTTGCAGGCTTTGTGCAGTTCCTCCAGTATTACTATCAGAGCGGGTGCCTGTACCGGCTGAGGGCGCTGGGGGAGAGGCACAACATGGATCTCACCGTGGGTAAGTTGCCTCCTGTGTCCAGCTGCAATCTACCACTCAGCTGGCTGGTGTAGCAGCAGAGACGACCAGGCCCCGACCCTGACTTCATGCCCGTGGGGCAGCTTGGCCCATCCCCAAACTCAGTGCAGACAGTCAGCCATCCGGGGGCCGGAGCAGCCCCGCTGCTCTCCCCCTGAAGCTCAGTTCGCTCGGGGCCGGTTGCACAGTCGGTGTTCCCCTTGCTGGCGTTATGGCACGGCATGGGCTGGGTCATCCCACAAATGCCTACCTCACTTGGGGCCGCTGGGCATGTTTCTCTAGGGTACCTGGCTCAGTCGCTCTCCGGCTGGACTACACCTCCTACCGCGCACTGCTTCTCCCCTCTGAGCACCAGGAGGACACGCGTCAGAGGGGTTCCTGGCAGTTGTGCATCAGGGGAGATGTAGTCCGGCCAGAGGTCCCAGCCCCTAGAGGAGAAAGGGAGTGCAGAGCATCTGAACTACAACTCCCATGAGGCACTGGCACCAATTGGAGTGGGAAGTTTTTGGTTCCTTATAAAATTTTTTGCAATCACGTTTTCTGCGTCCCTTGTGTGTCCAAGGCTGGGTGACCGAATCCAGCCCCGTACTCACAGCGGTACGGCACAGCGCCTCCCTGTTGCACTGAGTTCTAAGGCCCCCTTCGTATGTCCCGTCTCTGCAGAGGGCTTCCAGTCGTGGATGTGGAGGGGCCTCACTTTCTTGCTGCCATTCCTCTTCTTTGGCCAGGTGAGTCCGCACCGGGCGTCTCAGTGCCTCTTGGCACTGGGGCTCGAATGGAGACAGACGAGAGGGAGGGGAGGTACCACCCAGGTGCCAGTGGAGGAGAGAGGCTCGGCTGCGTTCGTGCGAGCAGAGTGCCTGGGGGGTGCAGGAAGCTGGGGGAGCGAGAGGCTGGACGGCCCCTCCTGATAGAGACGTGCATAAAACGAGGCTACTTAAATACTTAAACCAGCATCTCCGCTGAGCAGCACCTGCTCTTGCCTCGTGAGTTGGGCTTTTCAGAGGCGGAGCTGCCCCCAATCCCAGCGCCATTCAGAAGAGCTGCCGGGTGCCTCGGGCTGGGTATTTGGGCAAGGCCCATGGCGCTGGCCTGGGACACGTCCGTGCTGGGTTCGCTGGGGAGCATCTGACATGAGTCTCCATGAAAACTGTCCCTTAACCCCGCGTCTCCTTCAGTTCTGGCAGCTTTACAACGCGGTCACCCTCTTCCAGCTGGCCAGACATCCGCAGTGCAAGGAATGGCAGGTGAGCGAGCGGCTCGGGCAAAGGGAGTCTGGAGCATGGAAATGAGATAATGCCTTAAACTGCTGCCCCCACCTCCCCCTCGCTGCCAGCCCTCATCCTTCCAGCAGCGGCTTGAGTGCTTGGCTGAATGAGACGCCCGAGGGGTGTGTGGGTGTGTGTGTGTATGGCGCCATTCTGCTGTGTAAGGATCGCAGCCTCTGGCAATTTCCTCTCCTCATTCACTGCCTGCTGCCCACATGGCTGGGGCACATGCAGTTTGGGTCTGGTTGCCACTCTGTGGGTGTCAGAACAGGGGTGAAGGGCCCACCTGTGCCCTCACCACAAAGGCAGAGAGCCGTGGGGCTGGGAGCTCAGGTCTAGTCCCGCCCCCTGTGCTCAGGCAGGAATACGGGTCTGAGTCCGGCTGCTGGGAAGCGACACAGCTGGAGCAGCAGCAGCGTGGCTGATGGGCTGCGGCCCCTCTTAGTGGCCTAGGAGATCCCAGCTCAATACAGCCTCTCGGGCTCCTGCTGGTGGGTTAATTCTAGTGTCTCCCGTCAAACTCTCAGGTTCTCATGTGCGGGCTCCCCTTCTTGGTGCTCTTCGTGGGGAACTTCACCACCACCCTGCGGGTCGTCCATCAGAAATTCCAGAACCAGAACCAAGACGCTAAGGCCGAGTGACAAGAGGAGCTGATACTGAGCTCTCCACTGCCTTCCCCCTCCCCCCCCCCCCCCCCCTGTCTCCTAGCCACACTCCAGGCTTTGCCATCCGACTCTCCTCCTCGCCCCTTGAACCTGTGCCCATTCCTCAGGGGCAGGCCCACTGGGACTGTCCAGGGAACCTCGGGGGAATGTATGTGATCCAGTAAACCAAGCTGCTGAAGTCCGAGGCTCCCTCACCATCCCAGCCCCGGGACACGCTGCCTTTGGCTGGAGCCGCTGTGGGCCTGCTGCGATGCAGGAGGATGGAAGCGATCTCCCCAGAGGGTACCGTGGCCAGCCAGGCAGTCGTTATCCCACTCTGCCCCCCAGGGCATTCCCCTCCCTTTGCTCCAGAAGTGGGGTGTCTAGGGCAGCTGCTCAGACGTTAATGTGACCCCTTTCTTGGGGGTCAGGCCAAAGCACTACTACAAACACTAGCTAGCTCCAAGCAACCAGAGAACTGAATTGCCCATGACAGCTGGTGGGGCAAAGCCTCTTCCCTGAACCCTCCCGTGGGGCCAGCTGGGCCTGAGGGGGAGGGAGCAGCCCCCAGCCCTGGGCTTATTCCAAGCTCCCCTCCCCATGGACAGTGCTGCTGAGACACAAGGGGCGAACAGCTCAGCAACTCCCGCTTAGGGAACCAGCCCCATTGCATGGAAACAGGCTCCTTGCTTATTACTTGCTGAGTCCCCAGTGGAAGCGCTCCGGCTGGGAGAACCGGCTGCCGGGGGGAGCACGGCTCTCCCAGCCCCATCGTGGGCGTGGATTCCCAAGGCCTGGCTCTTGTGCAAATCTCCTTCTAGCGATGGGAAATGCATGCTTCAGATGTGTCCTGACCTCTTTACTACAGTGGTCTGCACCCTGGGGCCGCTCCGCATCCTCTCTGCTCCAGCAGGATGCTTTAAGGGGACTCGGGAGCATGATCCGGGAACTGGGGCCCACCTAATGTCCCAGCCCTCCCCCATCAATTCATTGGGCAGCAGAAGCAGAGTGAGGGAAGAGATGCCAAAAACCGTCAAGGAAGCAGTGTGTGTAGCTGGTGCTAGAAAGTAGCTTGGGGCCTTGAGCTCTGACTTCCTAGCCAGCAGGTTCCCTGAGGTGCCTAGGGCAGGTCTCCTGGCTGGAGGAGCTGTGCTTGGCTGGCTTGTGATCTGCTGGGGGAAGTCTGAGCAGGTACCTGTGGTGTGGGGGAAAACAGGTTGCGGAGGGAGCTGTCCTACCTGTATTAATGTCTGTGCCTCTTTGACAGGAAGCTCATCCAAAATAAAGGGAGGAAGGGGCGATCCCTTCCCATGACAGAGCCGTCTCTGACCCCAACCGCTCTTAATCCACTGGTGGGGTAGTTGATGTTTTGATGGAAGGAAGAGGGCTGGGGAGGAAGGGGGGGCAGTCCATTCTCACTGCCTAGGCCCTGAGCTCTGCTGCTGAGGGATAACTTGGCAGGGGTAAGTGTGAGACTGGGCAAGGGGAAGACAGCCCCTGGCAGGGGAGGGCTCTGTGCAAAGCTAAACTCAGCAGCGGTTTGTCCTCCCCTCTGCTTGCAGCAGGCAGGATATTCCTGGCAGTGACAGGGAGGGAGCTGCACAGGCCTGAACTAGCACCTGTGGCAGAGCCTGACTTCCAGCTGAGGGAGGTGAGCTAGGTCCTTGCTCTCCTGTCCTGGAAATGGGGCTGGCTCTGGTTTATCCCGTTTAGTGTAGACGTACCTGGCAGCTGCAGCGTCCCTGCTAGTGTTGTTCAAGCTAGCCCAGGTCTATCTGCACTTGCGTCAGTGCAGCCAGATTGTTGCACAGGGGAGCAGTGCAGCTGTAACAGAACCTGCCTTGGTGGCAGTCCACATTTCCCCTGACGGGGGAAGTGAGTGTTAATCATACTGCTGAACACGTGATTGGCTGCAAGTCCACGTTTGTTTTCCATCAACTCTCCCCTGGAAACCTGTTTGGAAAGCAAGGGGTGCTCTGGGCCAGCCTGGGAATGAACAGAGGTGGGTCTGGAGGGAAGGAGAGAGGCCCACAGTCTGCAAGTGAGGTGAGCAGCTGAGGGGAGAAACTCTGCCTCAGTTTGAGCTCTGGGGGGCTGGCTGTGGTGCAAGTGGAGGCGTGACAGCAGGGTGTGGAGCCACACCCAAGCTCGCTTGGATCACGACCGGGGGTGGAGCCAGGCCCGAGCTCGCTTGGATCACAGCCGGGTGGGGAGCCAGGCCCGAGCTCGCTTGGATCACAGCAGTGAGCTGCACTTCAAGCCTGCCTAGGGCTGTGTGTGTGTGACTAGCCCAGGCTGCTGAGGGTTCACAGCTACTGGAAAATGAGGCCAGGTGGAGCCTGCATGCACAGCCACCTTGGGAAGTGAGCTTTAAACACACTGGAGACAGGATGGGCTTCGGATCCCTCCCTCCATCTCTCCAGCACAGCCAGAGGCTAAGTGACTTGCCCAAGAGCTCAGAGGAAAGGCTGTGGCAAAGCAGGAACGGAAGCTGGGGCTCTTGGTCCCAGATTTGCCCCCGAAGCATGGGCAGGTCACCTGTAAACCTGTTCTCACCTTGTGACCTTTCCCCTTGGCTTTGTGAAAGGATGTGGCGGGGAAGGTGACACCCCAGGCAAGAGGAAGTTACTGGCTGGCAGCAGCCCACAGCTCTTGCCTCTGGGGTCTGTTTCTCACTGAAATGAAGCAAGAGGCAACTGATCTCATGAGGCAAAATAAAGACCCTGTTTTATTCCAAGGGGACAGTATATTTAAAATTATTTACATTCATGGGACAGGCGGAGAGCTTTTCCGTGAGCAGGTCTCGACCCGGGGTGAACGTGAAACACAGATACCAAAACTGGGTGTGGAGAAGCGGCCAAGGGGGTTCAGTTCATGTGACTACCAAGCACACGGGGGCCCAGTTGTTCTCCCTGCTCCCCTGGGCTGACTGCAGCTGCACATTCGTGCCCCCTGCAGGCCAGTATCTGGAATTACTCCCCCCTCACAGGAGGTGGCTTCAGCCATCTCCTGTCCCCTGTGACTAAGGAAACGAGATTCAGTGGAGGCAAGTGCTGCAGTTAAGTCCCTGACCCACCACAGCAGTGGCTACACAGGAGACTCAAGGCCCAGGCCAAGGAAGCAGCCCTGGGAGCTGCCTTGCTAGTCCCTGCAGGGCCAAGGACTAGGCAGGAGTTTACACCAGTGCGGGCTCAGCCTGGGTCTCGCAGGCTCTCAACTGGCCAGGGCTGGTTTCAGGCCACTGACTCTGGTGTGCAAGGCACAGGGGCCCTGGCCCATTGGGCAGAGCTGCAAGCTGCCCCGTCACAGTGAGGGGGGCGCACCCCAGCAGCGTTGCTCAGGCCGAGTGCCACCAGGACAGGACCTGGTGCTGGAAGTCTCGTGGGGCAAGGGAGACACGGGGCTCTACCAGTGGAGACTTTCTGATGCCCTGCGAGAGAGCGAGACAGTCTCTCCAATTCGCTGCCCTCAGCCCTGGGTCGCTTTCCAACCCAGCATGCTCCAGGCTGGATCTGTTAAAGGTCGCCAGGGTCCAGGTCTGGACCGCAGCACTACTGCTGCCCGGATCACCACCACACCATGCCTGAGCTGGGGGCGCACCTCTGCGTGCAGCGGATTGTCCCCAAAGAACGGGTTAAAAACCAAGGCAGCTCCCTGGGAGAGGAGGCGGAATTGGGGCCTATGCGACTAGCCTGAGAGGCCTGGGGGGGGGG